TCAGCTAGCAAGAATTTTATTTCTATCTGTCCCATTTCCAAATTCTCTAGCAGCTTTCTCTTAATTGCTTTGTCCTTGTTTCATGAGTATGATATCCCTTGAGGATATTAGTTGTACTACTTTTATAGACAGTAGTGATCAACATGTAATTACTTGCCATGTTCCAGGCACCATTTTCAGCTTTATGTGTATTTATTCTTTTGGTCATTCTGACAGGGACAGAGTAGGGAGACAAAGTAGGTAATTAAATAGTTAATCCCACTAGGGGATCATAAATAAAAATGTATGGGGGACCCTGTAAGTTAACAATCACTCAAGAAAGCAGGTTTGCTTAACGACAGAACCAAGCAGCAGAAGCACGAGACATGCACCCAAACAGTGAAACGATGGTGGCATGAGACCCACGTCCTGCCCAGTGAAGTCGGCAAGTTAATGATCCTTGAGAAGGGGCTTACATGTCTGCATGCACTAAGAGCAGAGATATCGGGGAAAGGTGACATTATACCAAAACCTGAAATAATTTACAGTATCATAGTATGTGTAACAGTACCGCCGTTTTGCTCATTTCCATAGCGCCATGACAATCCCGGTTGGGCCACATGGGGTCAAAAACTCCCCCGCCCACCATGTAGGAGGAGTTAATAGTGGAAGACTTGAAGAATGAAAAAGAAGGTGGTCTTTTCCCCCCTCCCCACTTTTCCTTTGCTTATAAAAATGTAGCCCGCTGAGTTCTCAGGGCGGCACTCCCTTGCCGGTGGGCTTGTGTCTCTCACAAGCTTCCTGTACTAACAAACTCTTCCTTCCCTCTCACTCTGCCTCTCCCGGAATTCTTTCTGCGCTGAGACAGAAGACATTCTGGCTGAGGAAAATTGATGAGGAAGAAAAATCTACCTAGAATAGAGTTCAGGGGCAAAAGGAAAACAGCATGAAAACACCTTTTGCTTCAGAAGGGATTTTGTGCTTTGGAAGAAAGGACAAAACTGAGGCTGAATAGACACTGAAGTGACTCCTTTGATTAGTCATTGTGCGTCATCTTCTGCAGAGACATTTACTTCCCTGTTAATATTACTTTAAAGCTACTTTAAAAACTACATCAGTGGTTCTCCACTTTTCATCGGGCCCTGCATGCTCACTCCCATTAGCGTCAGCGGAATTGTACGCTTAGTAGGCAGGGAGGCACGTGGGTCTTTAACATTTCCCTTTGTTCCTGACACACTTCACTTTGAAAACCGCTGTTATCCTTCGGAGTTTTCTAACCATGGAGTTAAGAACACATTATACTGTTACACTGGCTGAGTCCTTTGATGCGAGAAATAGAAACTGATCTGTCCAGCTTAAGTGAAAATAAAATATGCTGGGTAGATAATAGGGCATATTTCACATAGTCCAAGGAGGAAGGATCAGGTTTTGGGCACAGCAGGCATCAAACTTAGGGGAAAGCTTCGTCCTGAGAATGTACGAACTTTCTTAAACGCTTCTATTAATCTAACTGTTTCCATGAGTCCCAGTCTCTGGGTCTCTTAGTTAAAAATTCCACTCTGCCCGGAGAAAACTTAAATGCTACTGCTCGGAGGTGACCGTGGTGACGGTAGTCGTGGCGTGTCTGGTGGGTTGGCGGGGTGTGTGCACAGGTTCATGGGCTTCAGGCAAGGCTGTTAAAGACTCAACCCTGAGCTCAGGGAGCAGTTCTCAAAGGAAGGAAGAATACTGTGAGTCCATCGGCTGCTTTAGGAGGGGCCTGTTTTCTAAAACTGAAGCATCGAGCATGCAGCGTTCAATTTGAATGAAAAGTTCAGTGGCTCCCACTAAATCAATGTGTTTTGGCAGATAACCTGAGAATGTTCTTGCTGTTAAGTTGGTTAGTGTTTCTGTGTTTCGTAGTAAATCATCCTCGAATGAGCGTGATCCGTCTGCCTCTCTCTACCTTCCACCCTCCCTCCTTCCCTCCTTCCTTTCTTCCTTTCTTTCATCAGCCTAGAGGTGATCACCAGCTCATCGCAGGATCTGATATAACAGGAATGAGGCTGTTGGGAGAATTTATTTTGAGTGTATCCTCCTTTCTTGGCTGCTGCAGTTTTGCTCTTTTTAATTTACTCATTTAATATTTTTACAGTATGTCTCATTGTGTAATTACTTTTCCCCCCACCATATAAGGAACACATATTGATGGGAAAATTGAGAAAATAGAAAAAAAGCACAGAGGGAATGAAAGTTGTCTAAACCTCATCGTTAAATTTAAGAAAAAGCTCTCTTCTGTACATATAAAGAGGATGTTTATTTGATCCAAACTTTAATCATGTATACTGCCTCTTGGAGGGTAAGACAAGCTGCCTCTAAAAAGTTGCCTGCTTTTTTATCCAGGCGGAGACGGTCAGCCAGCTTGGAACAGACTGTTCTTGTGGTAGAGGTGGCTCACACCAGTGGCTGCCATCAAATAGGTTTATATAAAACAAGGAACAAATATCTCTCTGAAGAAGGCTTCGCGGGACTTTTCTGGTGTCGCCTCCAAGCTGCCTTCTCGATACCCTTTTAGGTGACAGGGCCGAGCCAGTTGGAGTAGGGACCACAGAGAGTGCACTCGGAAGCCCGGCCAGGCTGGCTTCTGCTTGCAGGTCTTCGAAGACCTGCGATGTGGCTCCAACAGAGGTGCACTCGCAGAAGGGGCCCCAGGGGCCTCCAGAGGGTCAGCTTAGCCTGGAAGAGGGCTACTGGGCCTGTGATGCAGTTATTTAGGTCATACAGCTCAAAAAGTATACTGAGGTGAAATTTGTTTCCGTCACTCCAAAGTGAAACCCTGTACTCATTAATTACTTTCTCCCCTTCTCCTCTGGCAACTGCCAGTCTGCATTTCATTTCTGTGGATTTATGTATTCTGGAAATTTCATATAAATGGAATCCGATTTGACCTTTTGTGTCTGGCTTCTTTCACTTAATGTAATGTTTTGGAGGTTCATCCACGTTGTCACATGTATCAGTACTGCATTCCTCTTTGCGGTAAATAGTAAATCATTGTGTGTATACACCACAATTTGCTTTTCCCTTCGTCTGTTGGTAGACATTTGGGCTGTTTCTACGTCTTGGCAGTCATGACCCTGCGTGAACCTGCACTTGTTTGAGTCCCCATGGAGTAGTGGGGTCATGTAGGAACTCTGTTTAACTTTGGGGGAACTGCCAAACTTTTTTCCTCAGCAGCTAAACCACTTTGCAGTCCCACCAGCAGTGTATGAGTACCCAGTTTAGCCACGGAGTTTCTGATGAGAAATTTGCTCTCATTCAAAGCAGTATTCCTATAGGTGATGGCAGTGGCTATTCTCTGGCTGCTTTCAAGATTTTTCACTGTCTTTGATTTTTAGCAGTTTAATCACGATGTGTTTGAATGTGGATTTCCTTCGATTTATCCTGTTTGGGTTTCATCAAGCTTCTTGAAACTCTTAGGTGTTTCATCTCTGGCCAAATCTGGGAAGTTTTCAGCCAGTAATTCTGTAAATATGTTTTGCAGCGTTAACACACTTCTCTCTTTCTGGGTCTCTGATCGTTTGAATGTTAGACCGTTTGTTATTGTCTCACAGTTCTCTGAGGTACTGTTAATTGTTAAAACAACAACAACAACAAAACCTCTTTTCTCTCTTTTGTTCAGATTGAGTAGCTTCTCTTGATCTATCAAGTTTACTGACTGTTTTTCTGCTGTCTCCATTCTGTTTTTGAGCCCATTCTGTGGATTTTGTTTATCTGTTGCTGTGTTTTTCTGTTCTAGAATTACTATTTGGTGCTGCTTGATATCTTGTTTCTTTGCTGACACTTTCATTGTTTTCAAGAATGAATGTTTTCTTGCCACTGTTTGCTGGAGCACTTTTTAAATAGCTGCTTTAAAGTTTTCGTCAGATAATTTCAAAATCTGTGTCATCTTGGCAGTGGCACCTGTGGGTAGAGTTGACATTTTTCACGTGCTTCATTACCGGAGTCATTTTGGGTTGTGTGAGACTCTGCGGGTTTTCTTTTCATCCCGTAGAGAGCACTGATGTCTTCTTTTAGCGTGCTGTCCACCTGGTTAGGTTCAGGTCTTCAGTTTCTGCCCACGTTCTCAGAACTGTGGTTCTAATTTCGGTTTAGTTTTCAGAAGCCTTTGCAGTGCAGTTTGGATCTGTCCGTGTGTGCCGCCCAGTGACCCATCCGGATCTGGGCGGTGGGTCTGTCTGTGAATTCAGTTCCTCAAGTGTTTGGTGCACAGAGTAGGATTAGATGCACATTTACGCAGATTGGGTGTGTTAGTCCAGGAGCTAATGAACAACGTCATTGCGTTGCTTCCCTGAACTCCTCTTTTCATTTGCTCTCCCTGCTACTTTTTGATTCCCTGTGGCTCCTCTTTTCCATCTTCCAGCCGCCACGCTAGGGTTTTCCTGCCCCACTGGGCCACGCACTTCGGCGACTACGTGTGCCGCATTCGGGGCCCTGTGTCTGGAAGACGGCAGGGCCGAAAGCGGCGGGCTTTGTCTCCAGACCCTTGTATTAGAAGCCCCACTCAGAGGAGAGAGACTGGCTGGGCTCAGCTTTCATCACTGCAGTCTGACACTGCTGTAAACGGGGTTGCTTGGGGACAAGGGCACAGGAGAATGTAGAAAAGAATAAAAGACTGGGTGTTTCCCCGTTCTCCGTGAGCAGAAGACTTCCGTTTCCTACCGAGCCAGAACTAGAGAGCTTCCTCCGGAGCTTTCTCTGTGTCCCAGTGCGCACTTCCAGTGCGTTCGGTTTAGAGGACACTGGAAGAGAAAAAGTGGAATTCCGGTTCCCCCTTGTTTCACATTTGCTACTCTTTACTTTTCAGGATCGTCACATTACGTTGCATGCGTTCTGTCCGGGTAGGAGAGACTGTGGCGTATGCTTAACTGTCTAGCCTGAGGCTGAAACATCTGTCTGTCTTTGACATTAGAAATGGCATATACTTGACTGTGTGGTTCCAATTTCTTTTTTTCCAATCTCCTCTCTTTAGTAAACTAATCCAGAGAACATGGCTACTGCAATTCGGGAAGTTGGAGTTTGGAGACAGACCAGAACACTCCTGCAGAAGAATTACCTCATTAAATGCAGGACTAAAAAGAGTAGCGTTCAGGTAAGTTAAGTGACCATTATGTCTTATTGCAGTTTATTTTGCATTAGTATGTTCCATCTTTAAAAGATGATTCGTTTTGCTGGATACATTTTTATTATAATTTTATATTCTTAGGTCCCTTTAATTTGCTTGTAAAAACTTGTTGTGTTGGCCTCAGAAAAATACCTAAATTATCCCATGTTTTCTGAATGTCAAAAATTTTAATAATGATGTCTAAATTTAGTTAATTTCTAATATCAGTGCTTGATTTTGAACCTTGAGGCATGCATTTCCCGCTTCATGGAATGAAAAATAGATTCTGCAGATAACTTCATGGAACATTATTCCACAGTTTATTCCTTATGGCCGGCCATCTTTTGGACTCTGGATTGAATTGCCCATAATTACTGAAATTATGTCACATATTTGTTCCCACAAGCATACGTTACATTATTATTTATTTATTTGGCATATACAGTACTTTAAAAGGTGAAAGAAAGTAAGAACTCTGGCTAACCAGTTACTAGTGATTGTAAAGGATGGAATATGGTAATGTTGATCTTCTCCTGAAGCCAGCAGAACAATTATACAGCAAAAGATGAAACAATAATGAGTTCATCCCTCTTACAGTTGACTCCTGAATATAATTGAGTATGGTTTTCGTAGTAGAAACTGAGCTGTAATTAAAGCATGAGTTTTAATTCAGACTTGAATAAAGACATTTTTACGGTGATCCCTATTACAGATGTTTGGTAAGTTACTTTGAATGAAGTCATGTATGAGTAAATTTATTATTATAGTTTATATTAGTAATCTAAGATGTTTAAATGTTAGCTTTTATGTCATTCAAATGTATTATGGTGACTTGAATTTTAAAATATTTTAGTAAAATTGAATGTAAAGGAAAAATTCATAGGCCGTTGGGTTAGGTTCAGCACGGTATTTCTTTTAGGATAGAATTGCTTTTATTTTTTGTACTTAAGAGAGGAGACCCAAGTTCCTCACATTTTTTTGTTAGTATTAGTTATATTCATAGAAATCTTGATGATTTTTGCTGCCATTGTTATACTTTGTAATCATTTTGTTTGTTTCCTTTATTGTAGGAAATTCTTTTTCCACTATTTTTTTTATTTTGGTTAATATTAATAAGCATGATGCATCCAAATAAGATATATGGAGAAGTGCCTGACATGGAACTTAACCCCATGGACAAATCTATCCTCTCTAACGTAGTTCTCGGATTTACACCAGTGACTAATATTACAAGAGACATCATGCAGAAGGTTTCTACTGATCACCTTCCTCACGGTATTGTGAGTTTACATGTGTATCTGTGTCTCTTGCAGAAAAGCCTCTTCAGTATTTTGCTGTCTGCTTTATTGAGTAAATGCCATTCTTAACATTTAGATGTATGTCCTTTCACCAAAACATAGTTTTATAGAAGTACTAACATCATTTAATTCTGCTGCCTTATGACTCTTGTGAAACTTTAATTTGTAGTCTTGGTAATAGGAAGCATATTTTATGTTTTAATATTTTATATTTAATTCATAGACCATTTATAAAATAAGCATATTTGTATAGTATAAAAGATTCGAAGGAATATTTCATTTTGATTCTGACTCAGGTAACTATTAAGAAACTAGAAATACATGGTAAAGGCAGTAATGCTGATGCCAGGATGATTGATTTAATGAAATGCTGAATTGTAGAAAATAACCTGTTATCTTCCATCCTATAGGATTGTTAGTTGTAATTGACTTCTGGTGTGTGTCACGCATTATTGGATAATGTGTAACTGAATAGAAGATGTTTACACAACCACGAGCCAAATAGCTTTTTCCCCAGTGGTTTCTTCCTGGCGTATTACTATTTAATATTTTTATCTTACTAGTGTAGAATACATTTGTTGGTTTATCATATTAAGCATAAGCAGCACGATAGCCATAAGAATTTAGCATGTCAGCTACGAAGAACTCATCAGAAATGTTGAGAATGAAATTCATTGGTAATTCTGAGTAGGACAAAAGTATATATGCTAAAGAAATCCAAGTCAGCGTGTATTAACTTAGATGCCAGAATAGTAGAAATGTATGTAGTTTTTTGTTTTTTTTTTTTTAAGTTCTGTCTTTAATGGCAGAACTCTGAACGTGAGATTGTACATACATACATGGTAACTTAACTGGTAGGATGTTGAATTAACACCCTCTTTCTTCAGATCAATCCTGGAGTTCCATGTACACCTACCTTCAAGGTCTAGAAAATCATGAGAATTAAAATTTAAGTAATACTTTATAATTCACAAAGCATTTTCATGTCTGTAACTACATTTGATAGTAACAACCCCTTGTGATCAGCTAGGTATTGTGGGTGAGGATACTAAAGTTCAGGGAATTAAATTGCTTACCTCTTCTCACACAGCTAATAAGTAGTAAAGTTAAGTACTGATCCTACGGTTTTTTTCCCCATTTCATGACATATTCTGAGCCTCCTGTAGTGAAGACTGCTTGCTTGTAAATAAAACTTCAAGAAAATGTTTAAAAATTAAGATTATTGATGTGAAAAGAGCTGAATGATGATTACAGTATTTTTTCATGTATCTTCTAAGAAAGGAACAAGCAGTATTGGGTTTAAATGGCAATTTTTATTCAAAGAAGAGTGTGTCATAGTTACTAAAATACATATTTAGTTTCTGAGGAAGGATTATGGAATTTTCTTCATAAGAAGGAATATTTGAAAATAAAATATCCACTCATTTATCAAGGAGTTATTTGTGTGGTTTTACTTTGACGTAGCTAAGTGGACTACATATATTGCATATAAAGTATATGATCTATTTTATTATGTTAATAACTTATGTGTTACATGACACATACATAATTTATGTAGTCAAATGACAGCTAAGAAATAGTGTCTGTAAAATTGCACTATTTTAATATTCATTTTTTAGTTTCTTTTTAGAAGAGCTATATTCATTTTCTAAGAAGTTAGAGCATCAAACAAGTGCTTATAAAATATTACATTCATCAAATATAATGTTAAACTTGGTGTATTGTATTACAATAAACTATTCAAATTTGTGAGCTAACTAAATTGTTATAATATTTTATAGTCATAATTACCGAAGAATATACAAGTGAAAAAGAATTGCTAGCATCCAGTCTTTCTAAGTCCAGCAACTTTGTAGGTGTGGTTTTCAAAGACTTCATGTCCTACGAACTCCGTTTTTTTCCTGATATGATTCCAGTGTCTTCTGTTTATATGGATTCAAGAGGTAAATGGCCCTAAACAATCAATGAAAATGAATTAAATTCCCATTTTTGCTGCTCCTATAGTTCATATGCAAAATTTGATGGTGTCCACCATTGGCATTTTAAATAATAGTTATTCAGGTAAGAAGACTGTCAACTGTAGCATAAAAATATGTGTGTATTTATCAGTCTACATCTATATATATAATATGAAGTATAATTTATGTAACATCCACCTTAATTTTAACACATTTATATTGTTTACAGTAACAAAACAAAATTTTATCCTGAATTGTATGACATTCTAAGTCTGTTCTTTCCTCCATGTAATTGTTTTCATATGTGGTATGGCACGTACCTTTAAAATCTCAAGGTCTTCCACCAGTAGACCTTATTAGTTTTATGTTGGAAACATGGAAAACAGCCTTCAATGCCTAAACCTCTGAAAGGATAATTATCGACCACAAACATTTCTTGACTAATGTTGAAGTCACTGTTAAGTACTGTATTTGTGACTTGATTCCGCAAAGCCCTTATAGAATTTTTCTTTTTTCCTGTGCTGTTTACCTGGACTTGCGCTTGCATCTGGAAGATCTTTAAAGCTGATAAGTCATTGTAGAATGGCTTGCCTTAAAACAGAAAACTGATTTATTTTAAATAACTGTGTTTACCATTAGTTTCTCTCTTTCCATTTGTATTCATTTACGATTCAGTATCCTAACACATGTAACTCTTTAATTTCAAAACTTTGAAGTAAACAGTAAGGAACGTGATAGATTTTGTTTGCCTTTGGAGGGCCATTGCTTATTTTCTTTGGTCCTGTAGAGATTGATTAATTATATTACTTTGGTAACCCCATGTGTGCTGCCTTTAAAGAAAACACTTGTACATTGCAGAATCTTATGTCTCACCTTTTTTTCTCCATAGCTGGCTGTTCAAAATCTTGTGAGGCTGTTCAGTACTGGTCCTCAGGGTTCACAGTTTTACAGGCCTCGATAGATGCTGCCATTATACAGGTAAATATGAAAAAGGAAGAAAATAGAGTCAAACTGTATTTTACCAATCATCCCCTAAGTCTTTACCGTAGGATTTCATTTGACTGCTGTCAAATGTACAAAATACATAACTTAATACAACTCCTTTATGGAAAAAGATAAGAGAGAAGTCATATTTTCTGACTTAATTTTTTTGACACCCACCTTATTTGATGGTTTCTAAGCATGTGATTCAGCATTCTGTATACCAGTATTATCATATCTGTGTTGACTGTAGATAATATTTATGGAAGGTCTACATTTGCAGACCTTTTCCCTTGAATAAGAATAACTTAGTTTGAAGAAGGTGAGTATCTTTATCTTTATCACAGTGGTAGATTTTATTTCTTATTTAACAAACATTTATCACTTGTTTGCCAAACATTATTTCTAAGAACTTACGTACTAAGATCAACCCATTTAATCTTTAACACCCCTGTGTTAAAGGGTGCTGTTATTGTCTGCATATTGTATGTGCACCTGAAGCACAGGGAGGTTATAAGTGACTTTCCAAAACTCAGTTAATTAGTGGCAAAGCTAATTCAGACGACCGCTTTTGGGCTCCCAGTTCTGTATTTTAATACTGTACTGCCACTAAGATTGTGTATAAATGTTGCATTTACGTTCTAAAGACATGCTTAGACCTGATCCAGTGTTTCACATTTTAGCAGAAATGAACAGGAGACCTTGAATAGGAGACCGGTCTCTGTTAGTTGTTAGACTGCTGTGTAGTAAAATGACTACAAAAATAGTGCTTTACTTGACTGCGTTGTTGTTAGAACCATATGAGATGATGTATATAGAATTGTCTTATAAACTCTCACAACATGGTGTAAATGTACTGTAGATACAGTATTCAGTAACACAGAAGATTAAGGTAATGACAGTGAAATATAGGGCATATCACATTGACAGTGTTAAAAGTACTTATTTGTGTTTTGGCCAAAGACCTTAGCTGTCCACAGCCCAGACCATATACTAGATGAACAGGTAGAGCAGATCTCATGTTAGCCATTCATTTGAATGTCAGGTAGAAGTGTATCGTATGGCATAGTTTTATTATTCTGTCTGTATGCGTGCTGCATATGTAGATTTTAAAACACTAGAAGGACTTACTGTCTAAAAGAACATTTTAAAAAGAGTCATTCTTTCATAGTACTAGTAATCATTCCTTAATTCCTCAATTTTATAAATGCATGTTTTTATTAAGATGCATCTAATTGTCAGCTAAAGATGATAATGTGCAGTTTTATTTTCTTTGACAAATTATTTAATAAAAATTTATATACTTCCCAACTTCAGACTTTAAACTTTATGACATGTCTCCAGAATGAGTAAAAGCAGTTTTCTATAGGTATCATGATGCTGGGGTCAATCACTTTATTTCTGGTGTGTAGCTTTTTGAGGATGGTATTTGTAAATTTGGGGGTGTAACTGTCACATTATTTTAGGGGCTACTGTCAGAATGAAATTAATTGAATGTATTTACATTTTCTAATTACAGCTGAAGACCAATGTTTCTTTTTGGAAGGAGCTGGAGCCAACTAAGGCTGTCCTTATGGGAGAAACTACTGTTGTGGAAATAGATACCTTTCCCCGAGGAGTAATTTTAATATACCTAGTTATAGCATTCTCACCTTTCGGATACTTTTTGGCAATTCATATCGTAGCAGAAAAAGAGAAGAAGTTAAAAGAGTTTTTAAAGATAATGGGACTGCATGACACTGCCTTTTGGTATGTTATTAAAACTTAGTTATTCAGTGTAATTAATAATCGTATAAGTATGCGAATCTTCAGAATTGTAATTTTGTTGTTCACCTGACTTGATGAGGTGCTGATGCCGTTTTCTCACAGTTATTGCCTTTGTCTTGGAGTTTGAGACCAATCAAAATGCTTCAGCAGTTGATTGGCTTGTTTTAACATAAGGGAAGTGAGCTTTGGAACGCTCATGTGGATATTATGTATTTAAATTTTATTTCATATTTTGTTTGAATTGATGAGGCGTGCTCCATGTATTTCAGTGTATATTTCAGTGTACAGACAATAGGAGATTTGGGAAAGTTAGAAATTAATTGCCTGTTACAGTCTTCCTCAGGTGTCATAGCATATACATGTTATTAAAATGTCATCAAAATGACAGAAGTTTGTGTATGTAGTATACGGGCTTTCCTTCCCCTGGAGAAAGTTATTTTTGTGAATTTTTTTAAGATGATAATATGCAAATAATTTCTAGAGAAACAAATGAAAAAAGTTCACAAATGAGCACACTAGCATTTTTATACAATGATAATTTTATAGAGGCATGCATTTTTATAAATAATTCTAGGTGTATTTTTCGTACTTTTTCCACTGTGTAATAACAACGTTATTTTGACCTCTTTTTGTGGGGGGGAAGTTAATACTGTTCCATGTGAGTTATTATTGTAGACCATTTTATTCCATTTAGCTCAATGCAACAGTTAATTAAAACACTTCGTGTAATGGGGTCATTCTGTATGCCATAGCATCTTTGCACATTTTTTTCTCCTGTCGTTTTACTAGTGATTGGTTTTTGAGATGCATTGGTTATTAAAGTATTCTGTGAGGAAACAGTAGCTGGAATAATGTAGGCAAATCAGTTTCTCAGTGCCTCGGTTTTGCCTCTGTAAAATAATGGCTTTAGTTTTGGTAGTTCAGATATCTTTTAGCCCTATTTTGGTGATTTTATGATAGCATACAATAAATTATCTGCTAACTTGAAAAATGAAAATAAAATGAAACTAAATACTGTGGTGATTTCACTGAGCTCTGATTTTGAGGAGAAATGTTGAGTCCTGTAGTGAATCCATTGTTGATCTTCCTGATCTCACATTGTGTTCCTGTAGTAATTATGTTGTCGATTAGCAAGGTAACCTCTACTGTCTAAAGTACCAAAAGCCATCAGTTTGTTGCATGTACCATAAAGAAAATTGTCAGTCATTAAACTCTTTGGTATTTTAAGAAAATCAGAAGTATTATGCGTTGTTGAACTTTTGAGGGTTTTAGATTTAAATTAATCATGAATTGCTATAAATCTGTACAGTTTTTTTTTTGACTCTTGGAAAGATAGTCACCATGTTATCTCTGTGTCAGATGATACTTTTACTGACAACTTAACCAATGCTGCTGTATTTTTAATTATGTATGAGAGCTTTAATTTTCAATAGATGAGCATACAAAGAAATGAAGAGATTGGCTGAATTTTAAGAATAAAATGGCTAAAATAAAGCTGAAGTTTTGTTTAAAATGTTCCTGTTTTTTTTTTTAATTGTTAAAGCCTATATCTTTAGCCATAAATGTATCTGTGTTCCCGTTGCAGGCTCTCCTGGGTCCTTCTGTATACAAGTTTGATTTTTCTCATGTCCCTTCTCATGGCAGTCATTGCAACAGCTTCCTCTTTATTTCCTCAGAGTAGCTGCTTTGTGATATTTCTACTTTTTTTCCTGTACGGCTTATCATCTGTAAGTACTTTCATTTGAAATGGGAATAAAGAACTGTCAAAATATTTGATTAATAAAGCCTTACTGTTTGGTTTACTTACAGTCGATTTCCCGTGAAAGACCAGATTGTTACTAGGCTACTGATACATGAGTTGTATCATTGTGCCTCCATATTTTTAGAAAAGTGACAGACTATTCTCAAGTTTAAATTTAACTTGTTTTCATATGATGTACTCCACATACAGTTCCTCTGTGTCTGTCTTTCACTATCTTCATTTAATTGTGCTTATTATACACCATTAAGATTGTCTGGTACGAGACATTTTATTCCTTTGTTTTTATGAGATCCTGACTGTTTCAAGTTAATTTATGTTACAGCATGATGTCGTGTAAAGATATATCTTTGTAAATGTAGCTCTTTGACAGTGTTGATTTCCATTTGGTAGTTGGGTTAAATGTTGGATGTTCATGACAAGCTTGTTTTAAGTGGTCCCAGTTTCCATTCTGATTGGCTTATGTGCCCATGCTGTATCCGTTGTTAAATATTTTGACTATCACCCCTGCTCTTTTTTTTTAAACATTTATTTATTTTTGGCTGCGTTGGGTCTTCGTTGCTGCGCACGGGCTTTCTCTAGTTGTGGTGAGCGGGGGCTACTCTTCGTCGCGGTGCGCGGGCTTCTCATTGCGGTGGCTTCTCTTGTTGCGGAGCACGGGCTCTAGGTGCGCGGGCCTCAGTAGCTGTGGTGTGTGGTGTGTGGGCTCTGGAGCGCAGGCTCAGTAGTTGTGGCACACGGGCTGAGCTGCTCCGCGGCATGTGGGATCTTCCCGGACCGGGGCTTGACCCCGTGTCCCTTGCATTGGCAGGGGGGCGCCTAACCACTGCGCCACC